ATGCTTTTCCCCTCGTGTAAGGGAAAACATCTGCCCTCCCAGAAGGACAACCTCTCTCCCAGAAGTAAGTTTTACACACAGAGAAGCAACATCCTTTTGAACGTGGCTTGTCCATGTCCTCGATTAGGAAACGTGTCCCTTTCAACTGGTTTTATTGCCAGAATCTCCAACTTCCCTCAATGGTACCCACCTTGTTTCTCACCTATACTCAAATGAGAAATATTATATATGCTGTTATATTAATTAAACAAGGAGGCCATTAGATGGTGATGGCTCTAATGCCGTAATGACCTACAGAAACAAACCAAATCTAAGCCTATAAATGCCTCCAGTTTACAAAATCAAAGCACTAAGGACAACAGATCACAAAGGGCCAACCAGGCTTCAAGCTACAACCATCAATCATAGCTGCAGCCTTTCTTTGCTTCTGCTTTTTCTCTGTAAACGTCTCTCCCCACCAACAAACTGCCTCTTAATGGCAAGGACATTAAGAAAAACAAAAGCAAGGAGGGTCGGAACAGTGCAACCCTGAGGGGGTTGGGTAGGAGTGGGTAGGAGGCTGCCGCTAAAATACAAAAACTGGCCTATGAGTCTCCAAACTGGCTCTGAATTGCCAAGGGCATAAAGTCTGGAAGGATCTTTGAGGGTCATTTGATGACACTTCATCTCCAGCTTCTATGCTGACTTTGGAAAAGTGACTTCCACAGAAGACACCTCCATGGCCTCCACGGCAAACACGATTATTTATCCCTGTACCCTATGTGTTAAATACCCATTCCTGGCAGGTGAGCTGGGGGTGAGAAACTGTCTAACTCACAATGTGAAGAATTTTTGGAAATGAAAAGTTTTTATCTTCTCCCCCCAAAAAAGGTCTCCCCCTGAACTTCTGTTCACTGAGCACTCCTAACCACTTCTAATTTGGCACAGCTCAATTCCAAATGGTTTTTGTTAAACTCTTAACAATTTTCATATGTCTCAGTTTATGTTTTAACAACGTAAATAAGTACAAGACTTCTTTCTGAAAAATATTCTAATGTACTAGAATTTTCTGTGCTCCTTTTTGCAAATACTTAGTTTTTAGTCTCTTCATATAAAATAAAAGGGCAAGGTAAAGATAGCATTTGGGATGTAGTTGGTGTATTTGTCAGCCAAATCATATAATTTCTACCCAGGAGATGGTAGATCCATTAAATGAAATATTATTTAGCACTAAAAGGAATGAAATACTGATAGAAGCTATATCACAGATGAACCTCAAAAACACTAAACTAAGTGAAAAAAGCCAGACACAAAAGACCACATGTTATAAGATTCCACTTAAATGAGATGTCCAGAATAGGCAAATCTATAAAGACAGAAAATAGGTTAGTATTTGCTTGGGATTGGAGATGCGAACAGAGATTAACTGTAATAGTGAATGAGGGACTTTATTGGAGTGAGAAAATTGTTATAAACTGGATTAGGGTGAGGGTTGGTAAATTTGCTAAAAATTTTTGAATTGTACACTTAAAAGTGTGAATTTCATGGTATGTAGTTAATAGACCTCAATTGAGTTGTGTTTTTAAAGAAAGGAATGGTTAAAAAATGAACTGTAATTTAGAGGATCTAACAAGTGAAAAAACACTGAGGCAAGTGGCATATGAGGGGTGAGTGGGAAGGAAACCACAAGAGAAAGGCCCTGCGGTGAGGACACAGGGGCGGGTCCAAGGAAGGCCAGGGGTCCAGCGTAACCGCAGTCTAAAGCTTGGTCTCCATTTGTTCATTCAGCAACTACTGACACGATGCACTAGATGCTCGCTCGGTGCGGGCATGCAAGTCCTTTAGAAACTACACTCTAGCAGGGGAGGCTGGATGGCAAGAAGAGCAGGGCCCGCCGGGCGGGGCTCAGCGGTTGGGCGTCGGCCTAGGATCCAGGAGATCGGGGTTTGATTCCCGGTCAGGGCACATGCCCGGGTTGCGGGCTCGATCCCCAGTCGGGTGTGCAGGAGGCAGCCGATCAATGACTCTCTCATCACTGATGTTTCTATCTCTTTCTCTGCTTCTCCCTTCCTCTCTCTGAAATCAATAAAGATACATTTAAAAAAAAAAAAGTGTAAGAATAATTCTTAGTAGATCTGAGTATATTAGCCTGTGGCTGCCAGAACAAATGACCACAAATTTGGTGGCTTAAAACAACAGAAATTTACTTTCTCACAATTCTGGAGGCCAGAAATCCAAAATCAAGGTGTTGGCAGAGCCATGCTGCCTCCGAAGGCTCTAGGAGAGGACCTTCCTGCCCTCCCGGCTTCTGGGGGCTCTGGGTGTTCTGCGGTTTGTGCCTGCACATGACTCCAACCTCCGTCCTGTCTCCTCACACGGCCTTCTCCACGTGTTTCCTCTTCTCCTGTCTCTTATGAGGACATGTGTCCCTGGACTTAGGTCCCACCGGTTCATCCAGGATGATCTCATCTTGAGAGTCTTAACTTAATTACATCTGCAAAGCCCCTGTTCCCAACAAGGCCATATTCACAGGTACCAGGGTTTGGGACTTGGGACGTATCATTTTGGGGGGGAGGAAGGGGTTCACAATTCCACCTGTTCTACTGAGTGATTTAAAATTGTTTCTCGGGCCCATCTGATGCTCCTACTTACATTACATCAGTATATTCAGAGGGTGTTTTAATATAAATGCTCTTAGTCTAAGGTCCCTCAGAACGACAGGAGTTTGTTTATGAACAAATTCACTCATGTGAGTCATGCACACTTTTAGAAGCATGACTTTGTCATTTCAAAATAAGACATAGCATTAAAAGGATACACATAATATGAAAACAAACCCCCACATTTAGACCATTATGACATTGCAAAAAATTCTGTACCTTTTTCAGATGAAAACATTTTAAGCACTAAGATAGCCCCATCTCTCACAAGAAGAATGGTATAGAGAAAACCAAGCTGCTTTAGTGATTTCTGCTGCTCTTCCCTTTGGGAAGGAAGTGTCAATGAATCAGGTTTTATTGTGATTAATGTTTTAACAGAATGTTTTGTTTTTCCAGGGCCACAAGAATATAGCAGGAATAGCCAATATTACGAGGGTATGTGAAGTAGCTATTAGAAACAGAAATAGCTGTAGAGACATAAATATATGAGGAGCCTGTAGTTAATTAATGAACATCAGGCACTTTTAGACACAGCAAAAATAGTCCTTAAGAGGGATAGAAGGACAGGATGGATACAGAAAGCAGTGTGGGATGGGGAACAGCATGATACTAAAGAAAAAACATTGATGACTGCTGATTAATTGGGAAACTAATGAAGAAGACCTAAACAGAAGCATTTCCCTAAGGTATATCCACCTACAGGTTTCACAAATTCTTTAGTGAGAAGAGACTGGCATTAATAGAGGAACTTAGTAATATTTGTAGAAATGTATTACTGTATTTAAATATCTTTCTATTTTGCCTAACTTGTTAAAGTGTACGGTGTTCATCCTTCACAGTGGGTTCAATTCTTGTAAACTAAAAATTCTCTGTTCTTATAAAAAATTCCCAGGTATTCATTAAAAGAGGAGAACATGAGAATGACATCTACACTGGATAGACCCAAATAAAACTTCAGCCAAGATCCTGGTACCAAGGATAAGTAGACTGATTAAGTAGCAACCGTGTAAAAGAGAGCTTGGGTAAGACTTGCTTCTATCAGGTTATGCCATTGTGTTTATTAAAAAAAAACTCCAGTCTTTCTGATCCTTTACATGTCTTCATTTAAAATGAAACTCCTTCTTAAAATGATGCCAGAAACAAATTCTTAAAATGACAGCTAAGAAACTAATTGTTAAAATGATGACATTCCAAAATAGCACCTCAAATCCATCAAGTTTTACTATCAGCACCCATCCCTTTCTATCCATAGATTTCTTAAGCTTCTCAGTCTTTGCCATCAAAGCCAAGGAAACACCAACACATCACTGGAATTTATATTAGTGTCTTGCAAATTCTGCTAAACACAATCACACACTTTCAGTACTGGACACTTACTTTGATCAGTGGTTGACTTTTTGACCAATGAGGCTACTACTACCCACTTTTCACTTCATTTCACTGTGGTATATTTGTTTGCTTGCTCTAACATTTTTAACATAGATAACATTAAGTTCAGCTTTCACATTACAAAGGAGAGTTTCAATACATTTATCCTATATATTCTTTGGTCCAACCTCTACTAGTAAAACCAGGATTGAAATATCTCCAGTTATATCTCAAATATAAAAAAAGACATTATTTTTTGTTTTGCAGAGAAAAATTCATAAGTGACATATATTTAAATTCTAATCACTCAAGCAAAAATGTTAGCAAGCCCTCCCACCCCAGCCTTTGTTAACTGAAACAGAACCAGGATTCCAAGAGAGGGGACTGTTCCTTTGTGTCTAATCCAGTAACAGAGGGGAAGTGGTTGAGTCTAATCAGTTTTGCTATGGATTCCTTAATTGAGGCAATGATTACAAATGCATACATTTCATTTGAATGGTGATAATTAGGTTGACTTCCAGATGACTCATCTGGTAACCTTTGGCCATCAGTGTTCCAGCTGGAGTGGGCCATGTGCCGCCTTCCCGCTGACATCAGTGGAAATCTTGAGTCAAGATCAAAGTCACTTTATGCCTCTCTGACCTTTCTTCACAATGCACAGTGGGGCTCAGTTTCTCAGCTCGGAATTTTCTGATTTGCTGTACTGTGCCCATGGGGGTAGTCACCTGCAGACAACCTACACGTAGATGTTCACTGGAGACCCTACCACAGGCTCATTGGAAATCACATCTTGGATTCTAGCTTTCAAGCGGTTTCCTAATCCAGATCCCACATCGGGAAATCTCATATCTGGGTGACTTGCTGAAGCTTCAGTGAACAGAGAGATGGAGGCAGGTGGGGGGGCTGTGCTCATTTTACCCCTAGAAGTCCACGCAGGCTCACTTTCCTCTAAAGACACACTTTGAGAATCAGATTAGAGAAAGGATGCCTTACCTTGACCGTCATGTCTGCGCTGGGTGCTTCTGTGGCATCCGAGGCTGCCTCATCGCCCTTCAGCAGCACACTCTCCCACCCAACTCCTGAAAAATAACAGAACAGTGGCATTGGACCCAAGTGCAAGCAGCTGGCACAGACACACCTGTCATTTTGCAGGTTCCAATCCCATGTGACTTGTAAATAAACAGATGACCATCCCCAGCACCTTACCCGCCTGGCAGTGTTACCCCACACCTTACCTGCCTGGCAGGGGTACCCTAGCACTTTACCTGTTTGGCAGTTACCACAGGGAAAGCTTCCTTTCAGAAGTGTGGGCAGTCAGCTCATACTTTGTTTATACTTGACCTCCAACTCTGGAGTCCACTGTCTAAACCCTGTATCTTACAGACAGTTCTATTCTTAGCCCAGGGTAAAGAAGAGCTTGGAACGAGTTCCTCCAGAATCCAGGCCTCACACTGATGTCTTACTTAGGGCTCAGAGTGAGTCCCAGAACACAGAAAATGCACATCTGAACCTAATTCAACACCCAACAGAAACAATTCCAGATTCTTCATTGTCCTACATTCCACACACCTACTGGAAGTAACTGAGCTTTCACACTCACTTTTAAAATCTACATATACTTCCTCTCTAAGTCTTGATAAATCTTAGTGTTCCTTTTTTTTTTTTTTAAGCTGTCAGACTTTCTCCAAAAGTGAGTATTTGTCAAGACACAAGATTTTGCTCTCTCCAACTTCAAGAAAAAGGTCAAGGGCTGGTATTTTGAAATACCTAAGAATAGACTATAGTAAAGCTACATTAATTCGGATGCAATGATATGTGTGAACAGAGGTGGAATGATCTATATTAGTGAGAAGTTTGAAGTAAAGACAAATATATATTTAAAAACATAGATTTATTGCAATTTGACCTATAATAGCCAAGATATAGAAACAATCTAAGTGCCCATTGATGGATGAATAGATAAGGAAGATATGATATAACTACTCAGCCATTAAAAAAGAAAGAAATCTTGCCATTTGTGACGACATGGATAGGCCCTGAAGGTATTGTGCTAAGTGAAATAAGTCAGACAGAGAAAGACAAATGCCATATGATTTCATTTAAATTTGGACTCTAAAATGAGACAAAACAAAACAAACGTGAAAACAAAACAAAACAAACTCATACATTCAGAGAACAGATTGGAGGTTACCAGAGGGGTTGTGGGCAGGGCGAATGGGTAAAGGGGATTGATTGCGACGGTTGAAAACTGTACTCACAGTGGTGCACACTATGCAGTATAGACAAATATTGATCGGGCAGCTGGAATGCACCGTCTTATGAAGAGTTGAGCCACAAACAGACTGGGGAGAAAAAATCCCAGATGATGACCTATGTAGCCTGGCTTAAGGAGGGAAGAGAGGACAGTGCAGGGCCTTCAACAACTAGGAGTGTACCTTTTACTTTCAAGGATTTGGGTAAAGACTTCTCAGATGTGGCCAACCTTCCTATCTATCCTGGCTATTCTCTTTCTCATCACACCTCTGCCTCAACCCCCATCGGCCCATTGACCTAGACCCAGCCATAGAACTGCAAGAAGTCTGGAACCCAGCCTTTCATGTTCCAGAGAGAGAGCCGAGGACCTGAGATGGAAAAGAAGGTGCCAAGGTCCCATAGAAAGTAGCTGGTAAGCTGGGAACAAAAGAGACTACACTGCCAGATTTCCAAGACCAAAGCTCTTCCTGGGGCCCACATTCTATCAAACCCATTTTACAGACAAAAGATAGACCCATTGTGAAATCATTTTGCTTGATCACAATGAAAAGAGTGGGGTGAGGGTCTGGTTCCCAGCACATCTTAGCTCCCTTCCTCGTCCAAGTCTCTGCTGAGTGTCTCCAAATTGAGACTTGCCCAGATATTTCTTTTCCTTTTCATTGCCTTTGACTCTGTGATTTCAAAAAATCTCACTTTGTTCTTGGAGGAGTTCTCAGCGGGGTGGTCATTAAAACTCAGCGGAACTGCAGAACAATGATTTGCCTTTACACACTTGGCTCTGGGAAACCCCACCCAAGGATAAGCTGATGGGGCTGCTTCCTCGGGATGGGAAGCCCTGCCCTGGGGTTTGGAGGAGTAGAGCAGGATGTCACCCCACCCCAGCCCGCCCCACTGCAGGTGGTGGCTCATCCCTATCCCTGAGCCCCAGCCTTCTCTTCCTTGGCACAGATGTGAGGCCAGGCCCTGGGGCCTCTAGAAGCAATGGTGGCAGGGGCATTTCCCCCTCTCTTGGCCCCTCTCCCTGAGATGAGCTCATTGGGAAAGAGAGAGGTCCACCCTTGGATGACAAGTTATTTTTCCCAACCCCACCCAGAGGTCATTTCCCCTCCCCCACATACATGTCACTGAGTAAGGGAAGCCTCTCTGGGTGCCTCTGAGTGGTAGATGTTCAGGTTGCTCAAGATGACAAAGAAGAACCTCAATATCTTGCCAAGTGTGTCCCCCATGCCTTCTCAACCCCGTTGCTCTCCCCACCGACATAGCCACAGTGATGGCAGTCTTGACAGCCAGACTGTGCTGAGGACAAACTGTAGATCGAGGTCTATGTCTTCATATGTACCATCTCATTCAACCCTCATGCAATACAGGTACACGAGGCAGGTACAATATTAGCCCCACTTTACAGAGGAGAAAACTGAGGCTTAACAAAATTAAAATGGAACCACTAAAAAATGGAACCAATACTTAATCCAAGCACTCTGACCTCAGAGGCTATTTGCTTAATCAATAACCTTACTACCACTCAGAAGATTAGCATTTCTGGTTTTCAGAGATGAGAGAACAGAAAGCTCAAGGATTCTGTTCCCAGAAGGGAAATTTTCTTCCCGGCAGTCCCAATTCAAACTCACAATACACAGATGATTAAAGGTTTTATGGTGAGGCCCCTAGAGAGAGAGAGAGAGAGAGGAGAGCCACGGCGGGCACTGACCCCCATCCAGTGCAGCTCAGCAAACATTTGCCAAGGGTTTACAGGGCTGTGGCAACTAGGATAGGCAAGTCTCCTTTCTGTGGGATCCCAGGACAACCTAGTTCTGCAGAGGGTGCCCTGAGCAGCAGAAATTTTGGAAGGTGGAAGAAGATTAAGACTGCAAAGCACCTAGTGCCTCTGAGCTCCACCTTGGGTTTAGACACCCCAAAAAACTGGGGACAGACCGGGTGATCGGAGAAGCAGCGTGCAGGGGGAGGGTGGGGAAACGCATCACGCACTGGGCTGGAAAACAGCTTGCTGCTTCTACCCGACTCTCCCGCAGGCACCGGCTAAGGAGGCATGGCGATGGCGGTGACGGTGACGGTGACGGTGGCGGTGGCAGTGGCGATGGCGATGACGGTGATGAGAAGGACACTAGTGGCACCTATCATTTCTTGAGCGCTTCGTATGTGCTCTTTGTTGTGTTCTATTTAACCGATTTTTTCACTAATATTAAAAAAATCACAAATGAAGTAAGTACTACTTTTATCCTCAGTGTCCAGACAGCCAAAGCGAGGCTCAGAGAGGGAAAGAACTTGCCCAAGAAGGCACAACGAGCTATAGCAGACCCGGGGCTTGGGGAAAGCTTTTCGGCGGCAGTGTTCGCTCTGCAACGTGCTGTTGCTGGTCCCCGCGGCCCACCAGCAGGCCCTGCACCGGCGGGGCGAGAAGGAACACCCCTCCTGGGGCTGAGACGATATGTGCAAGCATGGGCCTGCTCGTCACATGCGTAAGCTCTATGTAAGCACTGCATGCACACACAAGCAGACCCACATGTGCACACGTGCATCACCCATGTGTGCATACACACATGTGTGTGTACCGGGCCATGAAGCTGCAACAGTTTCTCAGCTACCATTCACTGGATGCTCTGGAGAGTAGGGCCTTCCTTTAAGGAGAATGACCCTTTCTCTGTCACAGCATCTGAGAGCAGGTCGGTAACTGGGTGTCTCGCTTCCAGCTCTACCCTCCAAGGTGCATCTCAAGCACCCTTCCTTATGTGAAGGTGGAACCGACTCCATCTGCGTGAAAATGGGAGCACAAAAGGACCATGGGACAGCTTTTAAAATGAGTGGCACGAGACCCTTGAGGCCCAAACCAGTTTTGCAAATGCCTTCTTTGGGCTGGCCTGAGCCATTCCTCAGAAATTAAAGCCTTTTTAGGCAACCACTCTACCTGCTGCGAACTTGAGGGGCTGTTCACAAACAGGTTCCCTACGCAGAGGTTAGAGAACCAACAGCTTACAACCTGGTTTACTCTCAGAATTAATCTGAAGATAATACCACTTACTGGGGCTCCTCCTCAAGTCCAATAAGGATTCTGTTACATTCTCTACAACATCTGAATTATTCAGCCTGATTTTCCTAGACTGGAAAGACATTTGACATTTATCCCTGAACAGTGTGATATAAAATTAAATAAAAACCCTCCCTGGCGAGTGCGGCTCAGTTGGTTGGAGCACTGTCCCTCGCACTGAAAGGCCGCTGGTTAGAATCCCCATCAGGGCACAAGCTCGGGTTGCAGGCTCTGTCCCCAGTAGGGGGCGTGGAGGAGGCGGCCGATCGGTGTTACTCTCTCACATCCATGTTTATCGATGTTACACTCTCACATCCATGTTTCTCCTCCCTTCCTCTCTCTAAAAATCAATAAACTATTCTTTAAAAGAATACATTAAAAAATACCATCTTGCACTGTTTTAATAATTAAAAGAACAGATGATGACAGGCTTAGTATTTAAGGTCCTTGGAGGCAGGAAGAAGGTGGTTTCTCCCAAGCCTTTCCCACCAGACCCTTCCCCTCCAGCCTCATTGTCAGCTCCAGCCCTCTGAGGCACGGTCCCCCAGCTCCTCTCTCTCTTCTATATCATCACCATTGTCATTTTTCAGAAAAGTAACTTTGGTCACATCGTTCCCCACCTCGACCTCATTCCTTGCATTTCTGCTGTGTGCCAGGCACTGTCCTTGGGCTGGCAACACCCAGATGGAAGGATCTGGTCCCAACCCTCGAAGAGCTGGCCGCCTGGGAGGCGGTTTTCTCTCTGGCAGTCTGATTTCTAGCACTGCCTCTCTCCTCACTGTA